TATCACATTTGAATCTTCAAAACCCAAAATATTTGAAAACAATAACAGCAACAGCAACTGTTATTGTTTTCTGTGTCCTCCAAACAAGCTTTCAAAGGGTCCCCATATTTCTCATGTGTTTCAAGAAGCAAAGATTTTCTGGGGTAAATTATTATCCTGAAACTTTTGCAACATATTTTGATTCATTTTTTCCTAAAATAATTCCCTCCAAAAAGTGGAAATAGAAGCAAGTAGCTGGGGAGCTGAAGTTGAAACACACAAGGGAATTTAAGGAATCAAAAGAAAAGGGAACAACAAGAAAAAAGTTGTATCTTTATTGCTGTCTCATGCTGGGTCTGTATCTAGCTGCTTATTGTATATACTGTATAGCACAATTTCAGTTGCAAAGATGGTCCATCTCAAGGTAAAGCTAATTTCAATATGCAGTAATGTGCAGATCATAATCATACAAGCAAGACTGGCTGCATTTTATTGTAACCTTGTTTGCTGGGTGGTCCCTCACTGTGTGGAATCATCTCATCAAGAAGTCCAGGAAGGAGGAGAAAAAGCAAAAAGAGATTCAGCAGTACTGAAGCCATAGCAACTGAACATTGGAAGGAAAAGATTAAGCACAGACTATTTTAATCAACTTATTTATACTTCACCAAAAATGCTAAATGAAACAAAGGAATGTTCAGAGTATCCCTAATCCACAAAGCAGTCTTTTTCTTTCTATGGATGGAAAGAAGTAACATTCTGTCAGAAACAGCCTTCATATATGTAAGTGATTGCCTATCCTGAGAAAGACATATATACCACTGGTTTTTCAGAAATTGTTGACACCTAAATATTTTTACCTCTAGTTTATCTTGGTATTAAGGTTAAACACACACATGCTTAACTTAAAAACACACACACACACAATCATGTATTTGGGCAAACAACATTCTCAGTAGACATAACCATGCATATTATGTCTACGATTCTGAGGGAAATAAATCATTTGGGGAACATCATTGGTAATCTTGTTTTATATGAATACATCAATCTACTTGGAATAAACAAATTCCAATAAAGAACTACTGTGCTGCTGCACTGCCATGGTCAGGTCATGTGATCATCGTGTACCTCTGACCTCTTTCTTGCCTCCCTCTGTCCCCTGCACCCAATTGGCTGGTGGCAAGGCCCGAAGGGCGAGTGGCAGTTGGCTGCTTTGGAAACGAGACAGAAATCTGAAATCTATTAATGGCTGTAGGTGTTGAGGGAAGGAGGGAGGAGTGACTTGGATGCCTGCTGGCGAGGTAGGGCTGGCTGGGGGGGCACTGGTGGTTGACAGCTGAGCCCTCTTCCTCCTTTTAGGGAGGGGGCCCTTAGGGACATGCCAGAATGGAAAGCAGGGGGCAGTTTTTCTCACGGTCTGCGGCTCCCTTTGTTCCACCTCCTCCCAGCAAAATGGCAGGCAGTTCCATGGGTCAGTTGAGGAGGAGGAGGCTTCACTAGGGCTCTCCTGAGGGTTGTGAGGGGAGCGCAAATGGTGCAAGTCTATATTATATGTGGGAAGGAAGGAAGGAAGGGAGGAAGGGAGGAAGGGAGGA